ATGAAGTTTCTTGTTTGACGATTTTGTTCTGTGGCAAATAGGTCCATTTCTGGTGTCCCAAATCTGTGACAGAGTTGAACAAACACTGTCCTGTTGAGCATCACTTCTGACTGATAGACCCACTGCCAGCTCAGCAAGTCGGCTATAGTGTTCTCCCGATCTGCCCCATGTATCGCCTTTATGGACAGGATGTGTGTCTCTGCCACACCAGTTGGCTTGCTTCCTCGTGCAGCCATCTGAAGCACATCCCACCTTGTCTGTTGACATAAGCCTTTGCTGTTATGTTGTCTGTTGAGACCAATATGTGACTGCCTACTATCTCTCCCTGGAATTTCTCCAGAGCCATTCTGATCGCCCTTATCTCCAGCAGATCCATGCTGTCAGGCTTCTCCAAAAGGGTCCAAGTGCCTTGTGCCATTCTCCCCTTCATATATGCCCCCAACCAAACAGGCTTGCGTCTATCGTGATTACCACTTGGACCGGCTCCCTGAGTGGCATGCCCTCTGAGAAACGGTTTGGTTCCAGCCACCAAGCTAACTGTTGTCTCACTACCTGTGGAAGGTCCACCTTTTTGGCCCTCTTCTGAGCTACCAAGTCCTGAAAGGGGAGAAGAAAGTGTTGTAGAGGACGTGTGTGGAACCTGGCCCATTGTAACACCTCCTGGCATGATACTTGCATCCCCAAGAGTTGTGCTAGTGTCATAACTTCCACTCTTTGTAAAAGCATGACCTCCTGTGTCACTTGTATTAGTTTCTGTTGTCTCTCTTGAGATAAAAACACTCTGTCCCTCACTGTGTCGATGTGCACTCCCAGATGAAGTAGGGATTGAGATGGTATCAAAGAACTCTTTTCCAAGTTGATCATGAACCCATGATCCCTGAGTACCTTCATCGTGATCTCCAGTGACTTTACCGTTAGATCGTATGAGTTTGCCTTGACAAATATGTCATCTAAGGAGGGGTACAGTGAAACCCCCTTGGTTCTGAAGTAGGCAACCAGGGCCACTAGGACCTTGGTGAAGACCCTTGGTGAGGACTTCAGGCCAAAAGGAAGTGTCCAGTACTGGTAATGGTCTCCGTGGTAGGCAAATCGAAGAAACCTGCGATGAGCTTTCTGAATTGGTATGTTTAGATAAGCTTCCAATAAGTCTATGGACGCCATATAGTGCCCTTTCTGTATGGAGGTCAGAATGGATTTCACCGTTTCCATCTTGAACTTTCTGGTAACTACCCGCTTGTTTAGCCATTTTAGTTCCAAAATCGCTCTTACATCCCCATTCTTCTTTGGAACGGTGAAGAAGACTGAGTAGACCCCGTGAGATCTCTCTAGGAATGGGACTCAGTCTATTGCTCCTATCTCAAGCAGATGGGCAATGGCCACTTCCAGTTGTATGTATTTCACTTTGGATCTGTTCTTTGGTAGCTCCATAAAACAGTTTGAAGGTAGTGACCAAAATTCTAGGGGATATCCTGTTGTGACAGTGTCCAGAACCCATCTGTCTGTGACCGTCCTCTGCCATACTTGTGCAAACTGCTGAAGACAGCCCCCAATGCCTGTCTGTGTCCTCTTTCCAGCATAGTCATGCCTGGGGTCCTTTCTTTGCGTTCTTGCCATTGTGGGATTGCTTCATGGAGAAAGAGGATGATCTGCCATCTTTGGACTTGGGTTGCCACTTGCCTTTGTAAGATCTATTATTGTCAGTTTTGGTCTCTCTTCTGGAGTCCTGAAAGGACTGAAGATATCATCTCATCTTTCCTTCCCTCTTCTTGGAGGGAAGAAGATTCTTCTTATCCTTATCTTCAATAAGGTACCTTTCCAGACCTTGTCCAAACAGGTTGGTACCTTTGAATGGAAATTGCTGCCACTTTAGCCCGTGCTGAAGGATTCACATCCCAGGTCCTCAGCCAGGTGTTACTTCTTGCCGTGACACTGCAACCCATAATCCTGGCTGACTGTTGCAGTGCATCCAGTGTGGCATTCGCCACAAAGGCCGTGGCAAAAGCAATCTTCTTTAGCTCATCCTTTCACTCTTTAGGAATGCCACTATCTGCTTTTGCCAGATCAGAAGACCATGCATATGCTGCTCTGACAAACAAGGACCCTGTATGTGCTTGTCACTGTTCTCTTTTGTAAACCTATCTGCCCCCATAGGAAGAACTGAGGTGGATGCCAGGCTATTAACTGGATCATCTACTATGGGCAGTTTCAGCTTTTTTGAAGCTTCTAGTATCAGAGAATAAAACTTCCCAAATGTCAGGTGAGTGGCGTTAGGTTTAGCTGAGTGCTCCCACTCTACCTTCATAACATTATAGAAGGCTGCTGGCAGTGGTACCCCCACTGTTTTAGCACTGGATTTGGGCATGGTTTTGTCTGATCCTACAGGACAGCCGGAATCATCTTCCTCCTTTTCTTTTGGGATGTAAGCTCATTCAAGTGTCCTAATGACTTTTAGAAGGAGTCTATTGTAGAGTTCCTGTGGGAAATGCCTAGATTGGGCCGCAGGAACCACCTCCTCCTCCTCCTCTGACAACTCACCCTCTTCCTTGGGTGAATCAGAGTCTGCAGATGCTGAATCAGACTCTAGTTCATCTAATAGAGGACTATGTTCCCCTTGGTATTCTTGGGCCTTTTTCTCTTTTTTTCAGGAAAATCAGGTTCCCACTCACTAGGGCTGTGCCTTTTATAATACTGGGGAGTGTCGGGATGCCTGTGAGACTCCTGCCACATGGCCGTAAACTCCTTCCTCATTTCTAGTTTCAACCATGAAAGAAGATTAGATTGTGCCTCTTCCACAAAAGGGTGTTCCTATGCTTGATTTAGAGGGGATTTAGGAGACTCAGTGAGGTCAAAAGTACAAGTTTCAGTTTCCAGTTCCAGAGAAGTGGAGGATCCTGCTTTAGTAGCCATTTTGTACTATCCCTAAAAGTGAAAGTAACAACTTTGTCCCCAAAATGGCTGCTTCCTACCTTTATTTCCCATTGCCCAGGCTTTCTATGGCCCTCCAAGGTCGGGGGGGGGGAGCTCTGAACAAACCACAGGTTGGGAGGTATTTGTTCACTATACCTAATGACCCTAGAACTCCCAGGTGGTCTCCCATCCTAGTTCTGGGTCTTTCTTCACCTCCAGGCTTCAAGGTAACCTAGCCTGGAAGGGGGGGGAAGGATTGCTGTGCAAGTGAAGGAGCCCTTCCCCATCCCCTTTTCTTCTCCAATGCCCTGGCCACCACAGTACCTCCCCTCTACCCCCTGTAATCCGGGGGGGGGGTTCAGCATTGGGAAGGAGTCTTCCCAGTCCCTTTCCCTGCTTACAGCACTGTTGTGGACCGGGACTTGGAATCGGCCTCCCACATCTCTAAGAACAAGGAACCGATTGTAGTCAGCAGGTGAGGGCGCTCTGGCACAGCTGTGGCAGCCCCGCTGACACTAGAGACTCTACTGCTTCACTCCTAGGCTCCCTATGGGCAGAGAGCGGAGGCTCATCGACCAGTCCCCCCCCCCCGGGACTGGAAACACTAGCAGGAGTTTCCTCAGTGTCATGGTTCCCTGGGGTTCTCCCAGGTCTGTTGACGCCTTTCTGAAGGAAGTCGTGCTTCTCCCGCGACAGTAAATGGCCAGAAAGAAGGGGGAAGGGGGAACAGAGGAACTACGAAGCTACCTGTTCCTGCCCTTCTCCTTCTGGTTTCTTCTTCCTTCCTTCCTTCTTCTTTCTTCTTCTAATTACTGTGTTCCAACAGAGCACTGTCTGCAATGTCCTGCTCAGAAGGCACAGCCAGGGAGACTGGGTTCAAGGGGTCAAGCCCCTCCCCTCTGTGACTGAAGAGTCTGCTGGCCCTGCCTTTGGAGATGAGGAGCTATTCCCAGGAGTAAGGATTCTGAAGGACTGCCCTACTCCTGGACCACCAGCCATGAATTTCCCAACCTGGAGTTGGCAACCCTATCTCCTTCCCAGCCAAGCATCAACCTGCCATTATCTGCCCTTCTGATTTCAGCTATGCCCCAGAAAGGGAGGGCAAGAAAGTCCTGCTCCATTGATAGAAATCCCTTCTTCCATCAGCAGAAATTATCAGTGGATATAAGCCATGCAAACTCCATGTCAATATTCCTAGGAAGAAGGCATACTGAAAGCAGAGTTCAGAGTTTGACACGCAGTCTTATCTTTTCCACCTCATGTGAAATAAGAATCTCACTCAAATCGGAGTTGCTTTTCTGCAAAGTCTGACATTCAGAGTTATTTCTTCCAATGGATAAATGCTGATAGAAGGGATTTGACCTGAAGTACCTATTGCAATCCAAAGGCATAGGTTATGTTGTTAAAAGGTACAAATCCAGGCAGGATGATTCACACAAAGTTCATTCCAGTTCCAAAATTATATTGTATAGAATGGATCTTCACGGTGATCTCAACAAAGCAAATATTAAGAGAGTGTTATTTTAATTGCAAATGTGGTTCTTTTTAATAAAAGAAGCATATGGTCTCATAGGAAAAACATAACAGCCTTGTAAACAACCAAATGAAATTCCTGGCTTTTATTTAACTACCATGCTTTTTAGTGCTCTGTTAATTGAACCAAATTTAGTGCTGGTCTTAATCAGTCTTTTAAAAGTCCCACTTGCTGTTAGAGGGCTCACTGTTGTACAAAGGGATTCATACCTCATCCACCACTTAATTTTGCAGATCTGCTTTGAATGCAAAGCCTAGCCTTGCAGGGGCCATTAACAAAGCCATTTTTCTTCCAGCTGTTGAGGGTTAGATGGGAAACATCCATTAAGAGAACTACTTGATGGCATAGCTGGCAAGGATGCCGTAAAAATAGAAAGAGCACCACAGCCCCAGAAAATTAATGTATCCTTCACAATAGAACTATCACCACCTATTGCTACCAAATATTAATTATGCAGCAGCGTTCTAAGCAGAACCAAACATTTTTGTTGCTAAGATAAAAAGAGGTCATGTCCAGCACTTTTTTTTTGGGGGGGGGGGGAATAACCACAGAGAAGGAATCATATGGAACATTCAGCCTCATCAGCCTTTGCATCCAAGAAAACGAACATCACCACTTCTTTGCTGTAGTCCCTTCCCTGAGCGGCACAGAGGCTTCTCAAGCACAACAGGATAATGCCAATATTAAATTCCTCAGACACGGGAGATGCAACAGCTGCAGATTCTCCCACCCAGTGTTTTCCTCCACTGCCACCAACTGCAGGGAAGATGGAGAGAAAGATGATGAAAAGAAAAAGGATGGGAAAAGCTGCCAGTCTTCCCCCCCAATTCATTTGAGAATATGAAGGCATGATGTCAATTTTTGAGCCAGAAACCTGAGCTACCACCCTGCCACTGTTGGATCTAATCACAATGGCCTTATCCAGCCATGCAGTTGCAAAAAATTAAAGACTCTTAAAATTTCTTAAGGGGTCAACAAGTTCTACCAATTTCCCTCTCATTGCTGCAGCTCACCAAAATGTGTTCCTGGAGGTCATCTGACACTCAGGAACACACAGCAGGGGGTAAGCGGGCTAGTCTTCAAGGTGCCACAAGGCTAATGCTCGTTTTTGATGCAACAGAGTAATATAACTATTCCTCTGAAATTACTAACAAGAGTATTTTGGTCATGGAAATTCCTTGAACACTCTTCAACAACCGAAAAAAGTTCTGTATAACCTGCACTGAATTCAAGATTAAGAAAGAACTCATTGAGAGGGTTCCTTTGAAAACTCCTTATCACTAGAAGGTTTGTAAGAAGTGACCTGAAAGGCTTTTAAGATCAGACCACCACAGTTAAAAAGAAGAAAAGAAGAGTGCCAACGGATTTTATTTAAGCAAAAGTTTTAGAATGGAAGGGCTTGTATCATAATACTCCATACTTCTGTCTGCTTCTCCTGTGCTGTTCCAAAATACCCTAGAGGCCAACCACCATTAGTTGCATACATACTACAGAATACTACTACACAATGAGTTGCATACATACTACGGAGGTTTTGCCCTGTGTGGAAAGCAGGAAGCCCCTGCTGTATTTGGGAACATCCAGATGACGTCAAGCTCAATTCAGGCACAACCTGTGGGACCTCCCATATTTTCACACAAACAGCCTCTCTTAACCAGACTTACTGAGGAAACCCCACAAGGACTGTAGGCGGAGTGTTTTATTTGGATGCTCCTCCCTTGGCCTTGGGGAGGAGGGGATGGTTCCTTATATTCTATGCCATTCCCTCTTTTTATCCCTTTAAGGGCTTTTTTAAAACTTTCCCAGCTGAATTATGCTGCAACACTGCAGGTGGAAAAGGGGGTGGGTGGGATTCAGGGAGCAGTTGCCAACCTCCAGGTTGGGCCTGGAGATCTCCCGGAATTACAGCTGATACAGTAACTACAGAGATTAGTTCCCCTGGAGAAAAATGGCTGTTTTGGAAGATGGACTGTATGGCAGTTTATTCTGCTGAGGGGCCCCGCCCCAAACCGTGCCCCCCAGACTCCTCCCCCAAATCTCCAAATACTTCCCAACTCGAGTTGGCAGCCCTAAGGGGGGCACCAAAACTGAGTTGTAGCTGTGGTTTTATTCAGATACACTACATAAATGGGGAGGAACTTGCGGGGGGGGGGGACAGAAACTGCAGCAGTAACAGCTATATTAGGGAGACATTCCCATCCTTTCGCGCAGAAGAGCGAAGAGTCGGACTCGACTGTGCGACTGAACAACAACATTCCCATCCTGCTTGTTGCTCCTGTCATAGCAGCCGTAGTGCAGACAGCAGTAATAAATGCTGTCTTTGAACTTGACTTGTGGTACACTTGCTAAAAAGGGTACCCACTAGTGCATTTGTTAAATAGGGCTATGAAAGAACTCTTGCCAAGGTCTTGCCAGAGCAGATAGAGCTAGGCTAAAGTCAAGAGTTCTCAAAACACTGACCAGGGCTCGAAACAGGCTCTCGCATTTAAGAATGCTGAAACTGGCTCAAGGGAGCTTTGTCCCTACACGTCTTTTGTCCAGCTGTTGCCTCAGATACAAAAAGGTTCTGCAGGATTCTGAAACAGCACAGAAACAAGTTAAACCTTAGCGACAAATAGTCTAAGAACAACAATTATCTCTTTTAAATTATCTTCAGCTCAGCACCCAAAGATGATCCTATATAGGCCACCTTTTAACAGAAAACATCCACCAATCACTTCTGACATATTAGGACTGAGCACATTTAACTAAGGCAAGATTGCTTCATCCCACCCCACCCCACCCCACTCCACTTAAATTCAGTCATTCAGTAACTTGAAAGTGAAACTCAGTAGCTCTTTCACAACTGTCCTTGGGTGCATTCAGAGGGACGCCTGGGAGCGGTTTAAACTGCTCCGGTTTGAGGCACTTTTTTAAATCTTGAAGAAACGCGATCACACTTACCACCTTGTTCCGGATCACTGCGCAGCCACACCGTTCACACAGGGTTTTTTTCTTTCAGTTTGGGCATGCGCACCTGCAGCCATCTGTAGTACTGGAATTTTCGTGCGTGCGCAGAAGAGCGATTTCCCCTTCATGCAACTGCCGGAACGCTTCCTTTTGTTGAGGAAATAGTTATAGTGTCTGTGTATGTCTATTTTGGTTTTTGTGTTGGGGTGGTGAGGGGTGTCTGTTATTATGCATAAAAATCCAATAAACATATTTTAAAAAACACTTTAAATGAACACTTCCTTTTAAACTTTTATAACGAAACCGGCCTCTGTGAGGTCCTGGACTCGTCTAAAGGCGACAAGTAGGCACCATTTTTAAATTCATTTTACTAACGCCAGGGCGAAGCTTCGCCCAAGTGCACATCGCCTACGGTAAAAAATAAAATTAAAAAATAGCGGCCGAAGAGCAGAAGCCTCGGGCTTCCAAACGGAAGTGGCTCTACACCGGCAGAGAGTGATCAGACGGGGATAATGCGGCTGGAACCGGTGCACCAGGATACCACCACTTGGGGACCTAGTAGCAGAATACAACGGTTTAAAGGCGGTTTGCAACGGTTAGGGACAGAAGGCAGATGTTCGCCGTGTGATCGCCCGTAAGTACACCGATTCCAACCGGCATCTATACCGGCATAAATGCCCGTCTGAACGCACCCCTTGAGTGTTTCTCAGGCAGGAAACATGGGTTATCAGTTTAAAATATCACAATTAATTGCCCACAAGAAAAATTCAGTTGTCTCAATACAAGTTTGAGTAATTTTCCTAATCTGAGCATATAGAATAACTGCATTCTTTAAAAAAACCTTGCCTGGTTTAATATGGGGTATAGGGGTGGCACGAGCTCTAAAGAAAGTTCAGTGCTCCAGTCCATGAATCCAGCACTTCTCCAGTAAACTGGAGACAAAGTTTAATATAAAAACTAATATTGTGAGGGGGGAAAACCCGTACAGTGTCTTCTTACTATAGTAGCTCCAAATTTATTGTATTTCCATAAATCTGCCTTCTGCAAAGCTTCCATAAAAGTGCCTATTTTAAGAAGTCCGATGAAAGGTGACAGTTAACTGAAATTTATATTCATTGCTAATCAGAATCATCTTTAATTTTACTGTTTTCACGAAAAATGAGAAATGTAATAAAAATATTCCATATTATAGGTCAGACAGTAAGATCGGTATTCTTAAATCTGTAATCGTAGCTCAACCACATTGTTTATAGGAATAGTTCTGTCAGAGCTGTTCTGGAAAGAGTAGTTCTCTCAGAGCTCTCTCAGCCCCACCTACCTCACGGGGTGTCTGTTGTGGGGAGGGGAAGGGAACGGAGTTTGTAAGCCGCTCTGAGACTCCAAGAGAAGGGCGGAGTATAAATCCAATCTCCTCCTTCTCCTCAACCACCACTATAACCACCTCCTCCTCCTCCTTCTCCTCTATTTTGTAATCCACCTTGAGGCTCAGTGAGACAGATGGGCTAAAAATGAAGTAAAATATATAAAATAAAATAAGTTTATGGCGGTTTATGGCGACACACAGGCAGACGCATCTTCCGGATGTCTCGGGGATGCAATCTGCACACCAGCATGTAGGAGGGGGTGTGACGGGAGAATTGAGGCACTCCTCCACCCCAAAGGTCCTGCAGCTGAGTGTCCATATGGAATTAGTGCTGCTGACCGGGACAAGCGTCAGAGATCAGGCAAGAAAAAACAATGCTGAGTGTGGCCGGTTGGCCAGCAACGAACTGTGAGTCGAGTTGAAGCGAGCATGAAGATTTAAAAAGAAAGCTGAGCGATGAAAAGCGAGTGGGGGAGGGGCCCCTCCCAAACGCATAAATGAAAACACAGAAATAAAGAGGGGGGAGCGGGAAAATAAGCATCTAAATCTGTTTTAAGAGACTTACCAGAGCGCAGATAAGCGTATGGGTGAATATCAGAGACTTTAGCAACTTTCAGAAAAATAAATAATCCAAAAAGATGGCGGGGAAGAAACCAGATAAAGACAAACGGTTGAAAGTGAAACTAGTGGGCAGTCCTCAAACAGAAGAGACCACTGAGCTTTCCAAACTGTTGGCAGATTCCTTGCGCCCTCTGCTGGATGAGATGACTAATATTAAGCAACAATTGTCAACAATTGGTCAGAGTTTGGCTTCACAGCAGCTGCAATTGACTAAATCTTTAAATGCAACGGAGCAAATGGCAGAGAAGGTGATGGACGTCAATACTAAAAAAGTCAAGAAAAAGGTACAAAAGCTGGAAATGAAACAAGCTATGGAAGAGTCACAACTTTTACAGCTGCAAATGGAGAAAGCAAACTTGGTCCTACGGTTCCAAGGGGTCCCGGAGTCTAAAGGAGAGAATCTGAAGCAACTGTTGAGTGATGCAATAGCCCCATTGACAGATTTGACAGCGGAATATCTATACAGTGAGATGGATGTGGTCTACAGGTCCTATTCCTTATACATCAAGAAAAATAATCTGCCTGGGGAAATAGTAGTCAGTTTCTCGAAGAGACATGTAAGAGATTCTATTTTGAAAGCAACTACAGGAACACCCTTGAAAATCGGGGACAATAATATCAGGATTTTAAAAGGCATTCCATTTGAAATAAGACAGAAAAGAAATAAACAAATAGATTTAATCCTTTTTTTTACAAACAAATGGCATCAGTTATAGATGGTTAATCCCAGAAGGCATCATTTTCAAGCTCCACGATAAAAAAGAAAAGATTGACTCTGTTCCTAAAGCACGTGAGTTTCTGAGAACACAGCTGGGGGAACCAGTGAAGGACAAGAAGGAAGAAGAAGAAAGCAAATCGGATGGCGAGTTAGGTTCGGTGTCTTCTGACGAGGACTCTCTTTCTGAAAAGGGGTCGGCAGCCCCCAAAAGTCCATATAAATTGAGGATAAGAAAAGATATGAAAAAATAAAGGCTGAAGGACTCTGAATTGTGCCTGAAAATTTAGTAATAACTTTGGGATGCTCTGCAGGTTTCATTTAACAGATAAATGGATGGCTAAAAGATAAATAACTTAGCATAACCGACTATGTTCAATGCATTACTAGCATTTTAGATTAATATTGAGATAAGCTGATGTATTGATCTCCCACTCTTGGGGTTTTAGTTATTAGTGGGTTTCTTTTCTTTCTTCTTAGATGTAGTTTCCTTTCCTGTATTTTCAGTTGTAGTTTGTAGTTTTGTAAAAAAACCAGTAAAAAAACTCCCCTTAGGGGAATGCAAAATAAATAAATAAATAAAAATAAAATAAGTTAGTAAAATAAATACATTAAGGCTCCTCATGAAGTCTATGATGAGGTCTGCAAGTCTGAGGGATACACCAGCAAGGATTTCAGGCAAACGCTATCTGCTTCAGTTGCCTGTGGTCTTACTTGACAAAAGAAAAGCCATAGTTCATATATGAACATGGCAAGCTGCCTTGGAGCATTTTCAAGAGTTACAAAGATAATATACATTTCCTATAACATTTTTTTCTCAATTAAAAGCCATCGTGTGAGGCTACACTTGGGAACAGAGGCCTGGCAGGTGAAGAGTGAGAGGTTAAGCCTTTCCTCTCAGTCTTCCCCCCCCCCCATTCAACATCACCTGCCAAGCTACTTCTCCTCCCACAGTGGGAAAATGATGCAGGTCCCCACATCTCTCCCTCCTCCCACAGCTTGGAGGCGACAGTTTTGATGAAAAAATACCTTAAGTACACACATCCCTGGCCTGTTTTCCTCTCAAGATTGCAGCCTCCCATGGCTGCTTTTGATTTTTTAACAATAAATTTGGTCTTCACACAAATTTTGTCAGGCTGTCTATCCTTCTCCCTTAGTACTGATAACATAATGTTTCAAATCAAGTAAAATTTAAACCACTGATTTGTCACATTTCCCATTCAATTTTTTTTTTGAACAAGCATACTTTCTAACTGCTTGTTATAACCATTTTAAAAGTTAGTTTGAAACTAAGAATATTCATACAATCTAGTAGCACGATCTAATTTAAACCTTAGTTTTAAACTCTGTGCACTGCAGAATTATGTATACATGCAAGGGTATCAAGCAAGATCACAAACACATGAAGCTGTCTTATACTGGCCCTGTGTAGACAACCTGTCCATTTGTTGAACTCCCCATGCAAGGAGGAAGAGCAGACACGAAAGCACTGGCCCTGAAATCGTCTGCATGGTGCAAACGTATGGAGAAAGTGACCATGCATACACCCCCACACTACTGATTTCAGGAGCGTGGTGTACACTAGGGTTATCAGCATGAGGCTGGCAACTGGTGGGGGAATTGGCCAAAGGCTAGAGTGTCACCAGTGTTATGCTGACATCACTTCTGATGACGCTGGAAGTGACATCAAAGTGTCAGGATGCTAGCTCCCCTCCCCATTTCACCCTCATTTTTCTCCCACTGCCCAGTGAAATGGCAGCGAGAAGGGCCTCCAGGGGGCAGATCTCCTCCCCCAGCAGGAAAACAGCAACCCTAGAATGTATGCAAGCAATTCCTCTGCACAGCCAGCTGACCATTAAAAGAGGAATGTTGCTAGCATTTTATTATGTTTGAGTTTTAATATTGCATTTATTAATTTATGTGATTTT